GCTTGATGAGACCGTCGTGAAGTTGGTATCGTTGGAGGATAGAAGCTCTACTCCTTCTCTTCCCCCTCGGCCACCGCCTTCCGCAAAGCCTCGCGAATGGCAGTAGGCGTCATGACCGTAGGCGCGCTCGGCAGAGTCGCTCCGGGCGAAAAAACGAAATCTTCGCTCTGCTCGTCATCGGCCTCGCCAGCGACTGGGGCCACCAACAACTCGGGGTCCAGCACCCGGCCTTTAAGCTTTTCCTTCGGCCCAGCTCCCGACGCCGAACGGGACATCGCATCCGCCGCACCGTTCTTGGAGCCCTCCAGATGCTTGATGACCAGATCGAACTCGCCCAGCATCTCGCACCACCGAGCCTCGCGCGCCGTCAGCTCCCGCGTCTCCGTAAACCACTGCAAATTCCTGTGGTCCGACCAAACGGTGATCTTGCCAGAACCGCAAACGTAATGTCGCCACTCGCGGAGACACTCCAGGATAGCCAGCAGCTCTTTGTCGTAGACCGAGTAGTTGACTTCTGGCTTCGTGAACACGCGCGAGTAGTAGGCGACCGGATGTAGACCGTCGCCGGACTCCGACCTCTGCATCAACACACCACCCCAACGCGAGATCCGACGCATCCGAGAAAATCTCAAACGGCCGCGACGTGTCGGGGTACGCCAGCACCGGCGCCTGGACGAGCGCCTGCTGGATCGCGCGGAACGACTTCTCGCACTCCGCCGACCAGACGAATGGGACATTCTTCCGCGTCAGCATCGTCATCGGGCGCGCCAGCTCGGCATAGTTCGGCACATGACGCCTCATGAAGGACGCGAGGCCGTTGACCTCACGCACACCAGTCGCGTCAGTCGGCGGCTTCCAGTTGAGGACCGCCTGCACCTTGCGAGGATCCACCGCCACTCCGGCTTCGCTGACCCGCCGCCCCAGGAAGTCGACACTCGACGTGCCAAACACGCACTTCTTCAAGGAGACGTACAGGTCAAACTCCCTCAGCCGAGCTAGCATCTGCTTCTCGTGGAGCTCGTGCTCCTCCGGCGTCTTGGGGAACACAATAATGTCGTCAAAGTACCCTCCAGCGAAAGCGGAGAGCGGGCCCAAGACCTCATTAATCAGACGCTGGAACATCGCCGGCGCGTTGACCAACCCGAAACACATGACCCTGTGCTGGTACAGCTTGCCGTCGCACGGGAACGCCGTGTATTTCTCACTGTCGGCGCTCAATCTCACTTGCCAGAACGCGCTCGTGAGATCAAACTTGCTGAAAATTTTCGCGCCCTTCAGCTTGTCAATCAACGCCAAGGCATCAGGCGACGGGTACCGATCCCTGATCGTCGCCTCATTCAGACGCCGGGAGTCCATACAGACGCGCCAGCCATCACCCTTCTTGACGAACATGGGCTGGGAGCAGAACGCGGACTCGGACTCCACAATCATGCCAGTCTTCAGGCCGTCATCCACGTACTTCCTCAGGGCTTCCTCCTTGCCACGGCCAAACTTGCGGTTCGGGTCGCACCTGAGCTGCTTGGACGGGTCAAT